ATGCTGATGCTTTCCTGATGGTTGCGGTGGATGGCGGCCATCCCCTGGGCGACGTGGAGGTGGCCTATATGCCAATATGGGTCCGCATCCATGATGTCCCCCCGATCATGTTGGATGAGGGGGTGGCATGGAAGCTGGGTGCAAAGCTCGGCAAGGTTCTGGAGGTTGACACAGACAATTGTGGTAAGGTCTGGGGTGATTTCCTTCAGGTTCGTGTGGAACATGATGTAGATGAACCTCCCAGAGATAAGCTTACTTCTCATGATAGGGCAAATAATGAGTTGTCTTTCCTAGAGTTGAAGTATGAGAGAGCGCCGCGTTTTTGCGGTTTTTGTGGTTTTCTCAGGCATGGACAACGCGATTGTAAGTTGCCGGTGGGCCTCCAAGAGATGAGGTACACCGCAACAATGTGTGCCTCCCCGTATAAGAAAAGCAATAGTAGAGGGGGATATGTTGCCCTGGTGGCTAGTAGTGCTCGTCGTCTTCTCAGTTTCGGGAAGGAGGTGGCTCGAGACAGAGGCAGCCCCATCAGGTCGGAGTACGAGAGAGTCCCTGATGAGATCCTGGCGAACCCAATGGTGCAGGCGGCTATTGCTGCAGTGAGCAAACTACAGGTCTTGGATGGCGGGTCCTGCACTAATACGCAGGTGTCCTCGGTGGCGCCTACTGCTATTCTCATTACTGGGAATGGAGAGGGGACCGGGATACATGCCAAGCTGGACCCGAGCCCTCCGAAGGATTTACAGCAGAACAGGGCAGATGCCACAATTCAGACGCCACCACTTAGCATGAAGCCAACAGAGCAGGTGTAGATAGCAAAGGACACACATGTTGAGGACCCACTGTACCCGCCGGGTTTTGAACCGAGGTATCAGTCGATCGATGGCGCGGCTGTAGCCCCCACTCTGAACTTAGTGGCAGCAAAGTCAGAGGGGAACGCCATGCAGAATGCTGCACTGACTGGACCGAGCCTCACCTCGGATGGCCCGATGTTCCCTGAGAAAAAGAAGGGGGCAAAGAAGCATGTCAAGGCTCCTGAAAAATCAGCATCAGTACTGGGCAAGAGGGGCGACCGTGAGAGGGAAGAGAAGGCAGAAAATGGTAAGAACAAGGATGGGGCAAACAGTGATCAGAAGAAGAAGAAGAAGAAGATCAAAGGTGCAGGATCTGAGGAAGAAAGTGCAGCAGGAGGAGCAGGCGGTGGTGAGGAAGCAACCGGCATAGGGGCTACCGGTCAACTGGCGGACGCCGAGGAAGGCGCCCGCCAGGAGCCATGACGCTACTAAGTTGGAACTGTCGAGGACTCGGGCAACCTCGCACAGTTCAGGAACTCGTGTGCCTTGTGCACACCTACAAGCCCAAGCTCGTCTTCCTTTCCGAGACTCGGCAAAATAATCAGTACGTCAAAAATCTCAAGTGGAGGCTGGGCCTCCGGCATTGTATCGCGCAACCCGGCATCGGAAAAGGTGCCAGCATTGCCCTCTTTTATGACGAGAGTATCAAAATAAAAAAGATTTCCGTGGGAGCGAGATACATCGATGTTTTGATCCGGTTAAACCCTCTTGGCTGCCAATGGAGGGCCACCTTTGTTTATGGGGAGCCGAAAGCTCATGAGCGCCATCACATGTGGTCCTTGCTGCGGAGAATAAAGGATTCAGCGAACATGTCGTGGCTCATGATTGGTGACTTCAACGAAACCATGTGGCAGTCGGAACACTTCTCTGCTTCAAATAGATCGGAGAAGAATATGGAGAATTTTCGCACAGTTCTTGCTGACTGTAACTTGTTTGACCTGGGCTTCAAATGACCGGTGTGGACATATAACAACAAACAAGAGGGTAGGAAGAATGTCAGAG